AATTATCATATATTTTAGATTTTTTCTTTGTATTTTCTATTGATAAATGATAATCTGTTTTCGTCCTCCTAGAATTTTATAAATTTGTTCCTTCCTAAAATTTTAGAAGCTCGTTCCCTAACCTAAAATCATGCGCTCGTTCCTGTGTAGCAGAGGTCTTAGCGCCTAGAGTGCTTCTGGCGCCTTGAGCTTAATACAAACGCCAAAAGTATCAAGCAAATGGGCTTTTAGTATCTTCGTACTTAATCACGTAACTCAACAAAATCAGATTGGAAAATACTTTGGTCATTATCTTTTTGGGGTATCAGATAAAAAAATGTAAATTTTTCCCTATAAAAAAAAATAAACATTTTCTGTACTTGAAAATTCCTGATATTTTCTCATCAACTTATAACATCAGAAGCACCTCTGTAATTTACTTGAAGGAATACTCGTTTAAAATGTTCTAAATTTTGTGAGAATCAAACATTTTTAAGTAGAAGTCTTCCTTTGGCGGTAGATGATAGCCAGATGGTGCCTAGAACTTAGAGCACAAACATGATTTTTGTGCAACTGATCACACCATTTCTGGTTCTGAACTAATTGCAATTACAGGACTCTCTAATGTACAAGGGCTGTCACTCGCAAGCCATCCAGAATCACCCATTGTTTTCCTTAGACTCGAAAAGTCAACGGGTTCTCCTAGAAGACCTTGCTAATCATGTAAGTGAACCCACCGTTTGCTTCATCTTTATGTTTGATGCCTGTATTTGAGTTCCATCACCCAAGTGTCTAATTCGAATAACTTACGAATTACAGGCCTTGAAAGAAGAGTCCGTATTTGTAGTGGTTTCAAAAAGATCAACTCAGGATAAATGCCCACTGCCTGTGGGAATTAGGATGTTTGTTTCAGCTGCCCACTCAGAACCTGACCTGCTCAAGGCATGCTCTTCGTTGAAGAAAGTTGCATCTGTGGTGCTCAAGGATCATATTCGCCCATGATTACTGCCTGGGTATGCCTAATCATTCTTGGAAGGTCTTCTCATGGAATCCTTTTCTTTCCTTTAAAACTTTCAGTTTATAAGAATATATATCTTCTTAATGGAATATATATATTAGTCACTCTTATTAATGGTATATATATATATATATATATATATATATATATATATTCATTCTTTTGTGTAACTATAATTTAATTAGAGATAGAGCTTAGTTTGATATTTTTCCAAGCTGTTTTAATTGTGCTTTAGTTTAATGATAAAATTATTTTGGATAAATTATACCATTAGTCATCAAACTATTATTTTTTTACTTTATTTATCAATCTATTTTTTTTAAATGAATGAATTAATGACACTGTTGACATATTTTTATCTTTTTGTATTCTTTTTTTTTATTTTCGATATTTTTAGTCACTATCTTATTAACGGAATTATTATTGTTGCATTGAGTGGAATTGTACACAGGATCCTTTACATTTAGCCATTAAGTTGGATAAAATTTATCAAAATTTATATTTAAGTTAAATTGTATCATGTACGAACTAAGTATTCTTTGTAGTAAAGAAATTGTTATTATTCTTTAAGGAATCGAGTTCCATAGTTGTAAAAAGCGCACCTGAGGCGCAAAAGCGCAGAGGCTCACTGAACGGGACTTTTTCAACACTGAAGCGAGGCACGTAGCTTAGGCGCACCTACGCGTAGCGAGGCGCAACGAGGCACTGAGACACGAGGCTCAGTCGAGGCACAATTGAGGCTCGATGAGCTGAAAACCTTGTAATTATTATTGCAGGGCTTCTCACCTATGGGTTGACCTCCTAAAACCCTCAATCGACTGAAGATGATGAAATGGCAGCATTGTATTGCCTTTTTTGAAAGGGATCAGGAGATCGGAACTCGAGAAAGGATCAGTCAAAACGACACCGTTTTTCGGGTCTCCAGTTGCACTGAGCATGAAATTCAGTGGGAAAGTGAGAAACATAAGAGCGAAAGCTTACCTTGTTTAACGAAAGAATCTCCGGTCAGAGACTAAGAGAAAGAGAGAGAATGTTGCGATCGGATTTTGGTGGTCGAAGAGATGGAAACAGAGAGACAAAGAAAAAGGCTGAAGAAGCGAAGTGAAAGTGAAAGTGAAAGAAGACAATCATATTAATAATGATATTTATAAACACGTGTGTATTTATCAACAATTTACACAAAGTTTGAGAAAAGATAAAATCCATAACTATTATTTTACTCAGCATAATTTGTTTTATTGTGATTTCTTAATTTTTCACGTTACCAAAATATTATTAACATGTAAATACAATCTTTTTGTTTTATTAATAAATTAATAATATGATAATTTTTTATTAATTTAAAATTTTTAACTTATAATTATTTAACATATTGATCGTGAATTAATATGTAAATTGAAATAATTTCAAACAAACCTTGGAAAGGCTGATACAATATAATATGATATTTTATTGAGGCAATACAATGTTGTCATCATCTTGAGTTGAAGCTCCAAAGGAAAAGAAAAAGCTATACTACACCTTGTAGATGAAGATGATGAAGTTGTTATGCTAGAGGAGAGTGACACTGAAGAAGAAGAAGACATTGGGGATTGTGAGACGGATGAGGAGGAAGATGATGACATACCACTTGATGAGGATGAGTTTGATATTTGATGATGATTATCAATGACTTTATTTGATGTTTTGTTTATGCATGTTTAATATTTTTGTTAAACTTAGTACTTGATTATGCTTGTTGATAGCTTTTATGACGTTGGGTTGGTATTTTGAGTTTGAGAATGAACTCTATTGAAGTTTAATATTGGGTATCTATGATATTTGAGTTTGATTGCATTAATATATACATATATTACAATTTTTTGGATATCATGCGCCTCGCCTTCGTGAATCCTGCTCCTTTCATGCGCCTCAAAGCTCAGGACACTTTGCGCCTCGATGCGCCTTGAGCCTTTGATAACTTTGTCGAGTTCGACCACCATAGATGTTAGGAGTCTGAGCAATCAATTTCGAAAGGTTGAAAGTTATCTTTAAATAGATAATGTCTTGTATTTATCCCAGATTAATCAAAATAAAATAAAGTTAAACTATATCATTAATTTAAAATTATATTAAAATTATATTAAAATGATACTAGAGTGGATCGAACATGGGAACAACGGGAAAGTAATCCAATTAGAAATTATATGTATTTAATTACGTATCCAAATATAAACACACATACGAAAGAAAAAATGCATTGCCAACGAAGAACAACAAATAAACATATTTTTTAAAGAAAAAAAAACTATACCTTTGTTGTTTATCATTGTAATGATTGTCCCTTTTTCCCATATGTATGGGGTAAGGGGGAGGTAAGATAGTAGGCTACCCCCAACACTAAGTTGAGAGCAACTTCCGTAAGAGACCTTCGAATTATGAAATGCCCTCCGTGGGACTCGATCCCACGACCTCAAGATTAAGAACCTTGTGCTCTACCAACTGAGCTGGATGATCATTTCTACAATTAATCAATTATATATATTTAGAGTGATTATAATTTTATCTCTATATTATTCCTATTAAAGGGATAGTCCATTTTCATTATTCATTTGTACACATAATTTGATAGTTTCTTTCTTTCTCGGAAAAAAATTCGTTGAAGAGAGTAACACAAACAAGTTTTGTTTTACTTTGGGTACGTAAAGTTTGAAAGGTTATGTTAATCTTAGGGACACATCTATTATAATCATTATATCAATTCCGACCAAAAAACAATGATTTTATCATGACATAATAAATTATTTTATTTTATTAATCAATACTAACAATATTATTTTCTTACAATCACGGTTTATATCACCAAGAAAATTCAACAGGAGCTGAAGTTTTAGTGTAAGGTAAATCTCCAGCATATCATGTCAACAAAATTCATTATTAGAAAGAAATAGAGGCAATCATTGACTAAGCGTTAAGCCATATAACTATAAAATATCATAAAAATAAAGTTTATGCTAATGAGAATCTGACCTGGATGCCTACAACTACTGGTCCGACAATTCTTTGTTCATCACTGCTGTTGTTTCTTCCTTTTCTGCTAAGAATTTCTAGAAGATTGTTTACCAAATAAGATGGTAAATTTTCGTTCCCTAAGTCGATAGAGTTTAGAATGGAAATATAAGAGTTGATGTGGAAGAAAGAGCTTTTACTGTATTTAAGCTTCGTCCATGGCAAAAAAAAAGTAAGCTACAACGATGGTACGATGGGTGGATGAACATTGCATGAGCTTTTATTACTAAGTTGATAAAATTATTAGAATATATAAACTAAATATATGTGATAAAAAAATAATTAATTTTGTTGTGATTGAATAAAAAAAATACTAATTGTCTGCACGTAGAAAGAATTATGTTCTCATTTGAACCAAGAGATTAAGAAATTCGAAGAGGTCTCTGGTGAACAATACTAATTGTGTGCACTGAGGAACAATATTAGCCCTAATAATGGGTGATTGATACGCGAAGAGGAGGAGAAAAGCACACAAGCATCATCGACTAGCCACTTTTGTTTGAATTACATAATCTTAAAGGGAAAAAAATGAACTTTTCTTTTTATTAGAAAAGAACAAAAGAAGAGAAATCTATGTTTTCCTTTGTCACTGCAACAATTAGTAGGATCACCCATGTCCTTATTGGAGTCTTCCACAATGCTTTCGGTATGTGATTTTTTTTTAGTTTTCATCATATAGACAACCATTTCAACTGCATTCGATGCTTCGGAGAGGGAATAAGTTGCTTCATCTACCAATGCATTAATCATACCTACTTGTTGCAGTCCATTTTTTATTTTAAATTTAACAGGCTACAGCAAATTCTATTTAGAGATATAATTGGTGCATTGGTAGGTGAAGTGATTGCTTCCCTCTCTGAAGCATTGGATGCGATTGAAATGGTTGTCTCTGGCACGAAAACTAAAAAATCACATGCCGAAAGCATTGTGGAAGATTGGTGATCTTACTAATTGTTGCATTAACAAGGAGAATGTAGATGTCTCTTCTCCTTTTGTTCTTCTCTAATAAAAGAGTTCATTTTTACACATGATAATAGTGTGATTCAGGTAGAAGTGAAGTTGTAATTTCTTTACACGTGATACTGCTGATACAGCTCACATTTCACCTTGCACTTGCACTTGCCGCAGCAGCATGTTCAGCAATCCGATCATTTAGCATCATCATCGTCTAACCAAGTATCTTCACTTCCTCTTCTACCCCACAATCCTCTATTTCTAAGACTTTATGCCCTGGAACAACAGCAACAAACCATGCTGCTGCTTTGCCATAAGCATTGAAAATCAAAACACTTTTTCCCCACACTTCTAATAATATATAAGAAGGTGACCAAACCACACAACTCTCTGCCCCCAAACACACAAGGGAAATAAAACAAAAAACCTCCCTTGCCCTTTACTACTACTTCTTGTTAAGGAGGTTGGCAAGGTTCCGGAGTTCCTCAAACGCATGCATCGTTTCGGAGTCGAATCCTCCTGCAAACTGCACCCATACAACCACCACAAGGGTCACTCTAGGCCTTTTAAACCCATTCCATTCAAATACCTACCCTAAAACATTATCTACTAATCGTACAACGATAACGAACCTGGTGTATTCTGAAAGCAAATCTAACTCCTTGGAGGAGCATATAGTCCATCGACGGATCCTTTTCCAGCGTTGCCTTGGACTGCAGTTCCATGGCTACCCTTTTCATGTACCTCTTCGCCAGTTTCACCGATCCAAGCTTAATCTGCAGTGAACACTCATTAAGCCTTCTATCCTATCCTATTGAGATGATGCTTATACATAGAAGCATATAAAAGGTGTATGAACGCATGTCCAGTTTGGTTATTTTTCGATTAATAAAGTAAAACTCGAAGTACCTTGCTTATAATCCCATTGTCAAGCATCCAGTCTGTGGGAATTTGGAATTCCCTGCAGTTGCGCATCAATGACTCTCTTGTACGTAGGAGGTTATAAACTGTACGTTCCATCCTGGGAATTTAGTTCAGAAGAATTTTTCAGAGGTTTTCAGCTTGAATGATATGGAGAAATGGACAAAATGTTCAGCATTCTTACTTCTCAGACAAGGCAACCATTTTCTTTAAGGCAATATCACAAGGCACTCTGGAATCATCCTTGTAGTATAATACCTCAGACTCCAATTTCTTGAGATCTCGGTATCCGAATGCCGCTTCGCGTAATGTGTCGGCTTTTTTCTCAGGCCAAGCGAAGTGCTTCAAAACTGCCCTTTCATCAACCTTCAAAAGTTTTTTAGATTTTTCGAAAACCATAGTAGAGTCAGAACACTGCATGAATTCCAGTTAATTGTAATACATAAAGGTATCTTTCCATCAGTTCAATGATGGGCGTGCAATATATCATTTTAAGCATACTATATAGAATTATTACTATAGAAAAATTATATATGTTGCTTAGACTCGAGTGTAAGTGCCGTCGTGTATGTATCCCGGTATGATGATTTTCGTTTTTCATTTATGTATCGAAAATGATTAATAAGAGCAACATAGTTGTGCATAGTTCACATGTACCATACGAAATAGACAGTCACTAAAACTTTAATAATTAGCAACTTACTAGATAGCAAAGCTCATCATCAAGCCATTTCACAAATGCTACAACATCTTCGATGTTCCGATAAACCGCATTATTTACTTCTCTTATCAACGAATTCACGAATTCTCCTTGAGTTTCAACATCCGCCTTTATCTGCATAAACAATGAACCAACAATGGGTAGAACCAAGTTTGATATTTTATAATAAGATGTTCATACAAATGTTGAGTTTCAGTGAACTAGACATGCACTTACAGCCAGCAAATGTGATGATCTATTCTCGATTTCACCGATCATGCTGCTACGAACGTTAGCAACATCAGGCACATCACAGATTCCTCCATTTGTGGAATCTTTCCTAGAACCCCTTTTCATGAGTGAATGATAAAACTCGACTACTTGCGGAGCACGTTTCACGACACCGGCACTACTTCTCACTGAAAACTTCGGAGGGGGCGGTGGGGGCGGTGGTGGAATTTGTGTACAACTTTCATCTTTAGGTCCAAATGGAATAGAACAGGAAGGTCTGGGAGGAGGATTAGGAATCCTCAAAGCCCTTTTCTCAAAATCTAAAGAAGCTGAAGAAGCAGCAGCTGTAGACTTTTGAGAACTTAACGGCTCAGCCTCCTTATCTATTTCTTTGGTACACATAAAACCATCAGATTGCCTTCTCTTATTTGGTATTAACTCTTGTATGTAACATTTTGATCCACTTATAGAATGTCTTCTTCCAGGGCTTCTCAGCTCCTCTATATGCACCCATTCCTTGTCCCCTATATTATCTGCATACTCTGAACTTGAAAATTGTTGGCTAGTAATAGACCATTTCTTCATCTTTTTCATAAAATTCAATCTCTTAACACTTGCGCTACTTTGTTCTGAGCTCTTACTGCTTGCTGAATTAGGTGAGCTCACATACTCAACCTTGCATTGAACTGGACTTAATGGCTTATCAAAATTCGTAGTCGAACACGAATTCCGTAGTTCATCTCGTAAACATGAATTAACCCACCTCAAGTATGCAAGCTCCTCGACTTCATTCAATCGGCTCATTTGCAGACCTTCCACTTGTTTGCTCAGGTTTTCATTTGTATGTCTTAACATTGATGCCTCGGCTTTAGCTTTCGCAACAACATCACTCTGATAAAACCAAGATACGAACAGCAATAAAATAGAGAGAGAGAAAAAAACAGATAGTTAATGCAAAAATAAGTCGATCGTCTTCTTGATTCATCAACCAAAAAAAGGGGAAAAAAGTGTCTTGCATCATATGTCTCCAAGCTATAATTCTAATTTTAAATTAGTACTTCAACTTTTGAATATTCCAATTTCATCCTTAAATTATGACTCTCATTCTAAATTAATCCTTATACTTTTGAACATTCTAAATTTATCCCTAAATTATGACATCCTTTCTAAACTAATCCCCAAACTTTTGAATATTCTAATTTCATCCCCAAATATAAAGTTAGAGGACGAATTTAGAATGAAGGTCATAATTTGGAGATGAAACTGAAATGTTCAAAAGTTTGAGGATTAATTTAGAATGATAGTCATAGTTTAGGGATAAAATTAAAATATTTAAAAGTTTAATGACCAATTTAAGTCAAAAAAATAAATAAGGGTTAATGAAACTACCTCATTAGATTTGGCAAGAGAAGCTAACTGGGATTCCAAAGAAGAAAGCTTGCAAGCAATATTCCTCTTTTGCATCTGCAACTCCTTGTTCAACCTCCTCAACTCCACCACTTCCATTTCAAGATCCCTATTCGATTGGGGTTTCTTCGAAATCTCCAAATTTTCTTCATTCCTCTCCAAAATGGAAGTCAAAGTTGCCAGTTGATCACATAAGCTGCTCCTCTCAGACTCCAACAACCCAACTCGGGTTGAAAGATTATCTACTTCAGTGTTCCTTGTTTCAAGCTGCTTTTCGAGGTCCAAAACCATAGCATTTGTCTTCCACTCGGTAAGCTCAGCTTGCAGCTTAAACTCCCTCTCTTTGGACTCCTGAAGAAGGGTCCTAACGTGGTCTAATTCGATGAACAAATCGCGAGAACCGGAGGACTGTCTCCGGTGCGTTTGGTAGAGCTGAGGGTGAACTTGGGTTGCATTAACTGAGCAAGATAAATCAGTGATGAGAGACCTTTTAACTCTAGAATGGGAATGCAGAACTGGGTTGTTTTGGTTGGTGTTTGGGAGGTCGGAATTTGAAAGAGGAGGCTTCTTGGTTTGGACAGTGATGGTTTGAACCTTGGTTTTCTTGTCGGCTGTGCCTGTGAAGCCCTTCACAATGTGTGAACCCCATGAAGACTTGGGCTTGGATTGATTGGCAATGGTCTTTGTGTGCAGAGATTTTGGTGCTTGGTTTTGATCACCGAATTTTGATGATGCTTTGGCTCTGTTCTCTAATGAGTTATTGTCTCTCATTGTAAAGGCTTCAGAATGAGAAAAAATAAGAAGATTTTTCAAGACAATTGAAGGAAGAAGTAAAACGACAGGAACACTACATTCTCAGAGAAAAACTGAGATTTAATTATAACTTTGGAAAATGCTAAACATAAGTTGATATGAAGGGAAGAGTAAAAACAAATGAAAGTTGGAAGATTTGAAATTTGAAGTTTATTTGTAGGAGCAGAGAGAGAGAGAGAGAGAGGAGGAGGAGCTAATGGCAGCAGCTTTCTTTTGTTTATTTATCGTGTTTTGTTCCCCTTCATTTTTAAACTTTTGAATTTTGAATTTTTTTATTATATTATTTTTTTAAGACTGCAATTGCAACGGTCCTTTTTTGGGTAGTCGAGGCCCACATTCGACCCCCGTTACAAGCACCGAAAGATGGTGTACGTGCTCAGCAAAACTAGACTTGACAATTGACATTGCTATTAAAAGTGGATTTCAATCTCCCAAACACGTCTCGAAAGAAAAAAAAAAAGCATAAAATATAGGATGGTCACTGATTTTTTGAAGATATATATTTTTTGGATTTAATCGGATTAATCAAAAAAATTGACCTAATTTGAGCAATTATCATCTTAAATTAAGGATGCGTTTGGTTGGGGGAATGTGAGATTCTCATGGAAATGGAATTCACATTCTCCCGTTTGGTTGGCCGGGAATGTCATTCTCGACAATCTTACATTATCAATAGTGGATTTTTTGGGGTATATTATCGGGAATGTCATTACATCTCTTTCCTTAGGTATTGTTGGATTACCGACGTTTTGGACTAAAATGCCCTTAATTTTTTTTCTCAAAAATATCCTTATTCTGTCATTGAATAATAAAAATTCTACGAAGGTTAAATTACAAATTTATCCTTAAACTATTTTAGATTTATAAAAAAAAAAGTTTATAATTAAAATTTTATATGAAGTTCAGTGGTTAAAATAAAATTTTACACTTTCATTAAACCTTTTTATATTTTTAATTTTATAAAAAAATTATATAAATTTTATGAATTTAAATTTTTTAAAGAAAATATATAAATATTTTCAACTTGTTAAAAAAAACAAATATACAATAAGGACAATTTGATTAAATATACATTCTAATAATTTTTTATTCCTTTAACTAAACACGGTAATCTTACATTTATGCTAAACCAACCAAACACAAAATACAACATTCCAGTAATCCTATTCCCTGGTAATCTTTTATTCCCACTGGTAATCTTACATTCCGTGAACCAAACGCACCCTAAAAGAATGATTGTTATTCTTCTAGATCTCAAGTTTGAGTACTAAAAATTACATGACATTTGAACGTTCATTATCAAATGGTTGAGAGTGTTTAAAACAGATATTACTGCTTATAAGCATCGTAGATGAATTAAAAAAAATCATTGATCCAGTCAATAATCTTTAGAGTAAATGATTAAAAAATATCAGTTAAAATATTCCATCCAAGAAAGAAAGAAAAGAAAAATGAGAATTTTACTTGAAATGGGTATTTGACTTATAATTTAAGGGAGATGGGATATGTTAATTACATAATTAGTTATTATTCATGAAGTTATATTTATATAAATTAGTTAAATTTATTTTTATTAGTTTAGTTTAATTTGAATAATTCATTGTATAAAATAATGCAATTTAAAATTTGATGACTTATAAAATAAGTCATTAAGATGCTTAGATTGATTTTCCAATAAAATATGTTATAAGAAAGTTTGAACGTTAATAATATTTTCATAAAATTATAGTCAATAAATACATAATATAATAACTAAGTGTTAAAAAATAATTTTGCAAGTAATATTGAAAAGATATCTAAAGATAATAATTATCATTTAACTGCTGAGATAGTTTAGTTTGTATTTGTTATTTAATTTATAAATTTACTTAAAATGATATCCACATAACCTAAACATTATTTATAAATGGGTAAATTACATAGATCGTCACTAAATTTTCTTATCTCTTATTTTGATCATTTTAATTTTTTTTACTTTAATAACTAAATTTTATATATTGAATTTATTTAGTCACTCTTCTATTAATTTATTAAAATAGTGATGGTGTGACATTTTAACTCTAACTTTTCCTTTTACTTGACTTTTCAACTTTCTAATTTTTCTTCTTTTTACACTCATCCACGTCAACCATTTCATCTCATTACTGACCACTACTTCAAGTGAAGATTGCCTCGTATATTGTTGGAGTACATGAAGGCTCCGAGCCTCCGACTCTATCTTCTTGCAAAGGAACCAAAATTTACATGTAAAATCAATAACAAAAATGTCAAAAACTTGTTAAATAACAACTATATTGAACGTGTGCCATAGATTTGAAGGGAATGTTAAATTAACTTGAAATCGAGGGTCCAGTGTTTTGGTTTAGAGGATTAATCCTTTAAGAAAAAGTATAGGTCTCTTTGATCAAATGATCGACCCCTTTAAATAAGGATCAATCTTATGGATTTCAATATCATTAGATCGATCACTTCACCAAATGATTGATTCCCCAATGAAAAGGATCAATCCACGATGAAAAGGATCGATCCTTTTACCAGAAAGATCAAATCGATGAAGGGATCTATCCTTTTTCGACAATTGTCGAATTATTTAGAAAAAGATCTATTCCTTTTATCAATAGATTGATATCTTATGTATTAAATATTATATTTTGTTGTAGGTAACAACTATAATGATCCCCAATGACTTCAAACAACTAGGATAGAGAAGGTATAAAATCAAAGATAAAGCATTTGAACATCAAGAATCATATTGCATCAATCTACCAACAACAAAGTGCTCTAGTGTGCTTAATTTGTCACATGTTTTCATTGTAACACATATGTGAGCTACATTGTTAATTTTGTTTGAGTGTGATTTGGGTGAATGCTTAAATTGTGTAAAAGTAGAATCAAGAATAAGCAAACAATAAGCATCATGATACTTTAAAAAAAAATCATATAAAATCAAGTACCAATAAAAATGTTTAAGCAATAAAGTATCAATTTCTAAATAAAAAATAAATAAATGTAGCAATGTCAAATAATATGAAAATATGCCTTGGATGAATTAGGATGGTGAAAGAGGGAAAGGGAATCTATTGAGCTGTCGTTGAATCACTCGAAATTCCTCAATCATGCGAGCCTTTAAGTCATCCTGGCGATATTCAACCCATCAATACAAGAATTGACATGCCCAACAGTTTCCATCATGAAATTATGAAGCTCTCAAGTAGACATAGTCGGAGGTGCCATGCCTGCATGCTCATCTCTATGGTGCTCTCCATGAGCATCATCTATGGGATCGTAGATGTATCTGATCTTTGCCATAGTAGCACGACTGATAGTCTTGTCAACGGGAGCCAACATTTCAAGCTCATAAGAAGTATTGATATCCAGTACCTCAAATATGTGACCAAGGTAAATGCCATATACCAAAATCTGACAAGACTTCGTTTTGATTACACTCACTATATCCACCAATAGTCACTCTTTCCAAGAGTTGAGAACTCTGAGCTGCGAGCTTGGAGGACATAAGTAATGATGAGATGAATTAGTCAATCATATAGGGATAAAATGATGATGTTGGGAAATAAACCGAGTACGAATAATTTTTCTATAACTAAATTAGTGAGAAAGCAAAATAAAAACGGAAAAATAATACTCGAAATTGATAACGGAGTTCAACCAATTTTGTCTACGTCTCTGGACTGCTGCAAATATTTTACTAAGAGATCAAATTTACAGGTGTTTACAAAACACCCACTATTCACAAGAAAACTCTATAGTATTGGGAGAAAGAAATGATTTGAGATTTTGGGATGATTTTAAAGCTAAATGAACTAGGGTATTTATAGTTGAAACTTAGGGACTAATCTTTGAAAATACTTTAAAGTGCAATGACTAAAGTGTGATTAACCCATTTTAAAAATCAACAAAATTTATTGTACCTTGACTTCTTGCACATTCAGTGCCTACCTTCTGAAATCTTTCACTTTCCACTTTCGGTGGAAATCAATTTCCAACATGTGATTCTATTGTTTGTAAGGTGCATATCAATAGAAAATATCTTTTTTCATAATTATCATCGGTAAGAGAGGTTAAAAGTTTGAGCGATAAAATCGATAGTGATAGATTAACCCATAAGGTAAGAGATAATGATTCGATGATTTGTCACATCCAAAGATTAAGTGGAAGACATAGTAAAAAGCTCGAATCAAGGTAGAATAACTAGGGTCATAAAAGTTAAAAAAAATTATATAAGGTTTCATGCTTTCAATTTTTGGATGCAAGGAAAACACAAGTTCTAAAAATTTAAAATATTTTTTTTGGATTTCTTTAGCAGGTCAAGAGGAAAAAAATAAATCACATCTTTCACGAGTTTTTGAATTTTTTAAAACACAAGTCAAGGGATGAAGCAACGTGAAGTTGAGGTGGTTAGAGAGCCCATATTATTTGCAAAATTTATTATTTTATTGCAGAAAATAGTACCCATAACCTATTTCATCCAAATTCTAAAGTTTTTATCATACTCTCATAAGGCGTTTTATAAAATACCCTTACTAGAAACATCGATCGAACTCATTCATCCATAATACATTTTTTAGCCCAAAATATCCAATAAATTCTTCATAAAATCTTTTTGGCAACTTCCAAACATCCCTTTTTGACCTAAAATCATATTTTCAAAAATTCTTTCAAAATGTCAAAGAGAACATTCATGACTTCTAATGGAAAAGTTACCTCAAGCAACCTTCAAGCTGCTTAACTTGTGTTTTAAAAATTCATACGCCTGTGAAAGATATGGTTCATTTTTCTTCTCTCAGCCCGTTAACGAAAGTTGGAAAATTGATTTTTGATTTTAAATTTTTTTGGGATTTCCTTACATCCAAAACCTGAAAGACATGAAATTGTATGATTTTCTAAACTTTCATGGCGCTACTTATCCTGCCTTGTTTCGAGCTTTTTACTCAAATGCTCGAGTCTTTCTCTTAATCTTAGGATGTCACAAATCATCGAACCATTGCCTCTTACCTT